TAGGGAACAGTAATGCTCTAAACCCTTTGACACAGTGTCCTGGAGCCTACTGTCATGAGGACTATATGGATTTATTTTGAGGTTGTTTAGCCCTAACATTTACTGCTATAAAGCCAATGGGAAAGCCCAGGGAGCAAATGGACTAAATGGTGCCTCTTGGGAGCTGGCTTTAGAGTCTTTTTCTGAAAATGGATAGGACATGGAGAAGAAAGTTAAAGGAAAAGGAGTGGTATGGATAAAACAGCCAAGTGAGTTCTAGGCCCAAATACAACTAAGTGCCTGAGAACTGGAGGAAGGCATGGGAGAGGTTGAGCACTGAGGTCATCCTGACCTTGGGAGGACCTCTTTAAAATAGACAAAGGCAATGGTGCCCTCTGGTGGCCAAGGGTAAGTGCAGCCTAAACTTACTTAAACAATCTACATCAGTAGACCAAACTCCTGTATTTAAGGGGTAAAAGCCAAATTTTATTGGATACTATTTCCAGATACTATGTAAATGTGGTACATACATTATCTTAATTAATCTTCACAACTCTAAGAGATGTAAATAATATTAATATCTCTGCAGGAGAGGAAACCAAGGTTTAGATAGGAATGTATCTATACCAAGTATCTTGTTTAGGGCCATATCTTGTAATTGGCATTGCTCAAATTCAGACTTAGGTTGGTGTCACTCCAGAAGCTGTATCTTAACTATTAAGCTCTACTGTTTATATGGTGAATGACTGTGAATTATCAGCTGCAGCTCAAAAAGGACTTTTGGGTCACAGTGAACTATCTCCTGGTTATATCAGTATGTCTTGCTATATTTAAAAATATTTTAAAAGATAAGGAACTATAGTCTAACTTATCTGTAAAAAACTTTTTCTACCCATACTTGAAATATATAAATGGTGACCCTCTCAGAATACATAAAGGGGAGACAAACATTTTGCACCTAAAATGACCAAAGGGGTAGAAGGGGGTTCTTACATGAAATAATCAAAAAACAGCTGAAGAGGATATAGTGTTTTTTCACTATAGAGTATTAGAAGCAGAGGGCATGCATTCAAAACTAGCTGTAGGGGGTTTTTTGTTGTTGTTTTTTTAAGATTTTATTTTTAGAGAGGGGGAGGAAGACAGGGAGAGAAACATGTGTGTGGTTGCTTCATGTGCACCCCCTGCTGGGGACCTGGCCTGTAACCCAGGCATGTGCCCTAACTGGGAATCAAACTGGAGACCCTTTTATTTGCACACTAGTGATCAATCCACTGAGCCACACCAGGCAGGACCTGGATGTACTTTTCAAAGAAAAGTAGTACTACTTCACAGCCACTGGGGGACTGTGTGGAGACTCCACTACCACTGCCGAGTGGGATTTAGCAGAAAGACCACTAGTCAGTCTAGGGATAAGAAGATCACTACTAGGGTTGAAGCTGGCTTCCTGCTGACTAGCAAGTCACAACCTCTCTAAGCTTAGTTTCTTCATCTGTAAACTGGGAGTAACATCCATTTCTTAAGAGTTGTAAAGTTAATTCAGAACACAACTTTGAACTGCATGAATCCACTTACATGTGGATTTTTTTCAACTAACTATACAGTCGGCTCTTAATATCCCCAGGTTTCACATCCATAGTCTCAACCAACCACAGATCAAACACAGTATTTTTCATCTGCATTTGGGAACTGTAGACACAGAGGACCAAGTGTACGTACTGCTTGATGCCATTTTATCTGAGACTTGAACATCTGCATATTTTGTTGTTCAAGGGGGTCCAGCAATCAGTCCCCCAAGAACACCAAGAGACAACTGTAGTTAAATTTTTAGGGAGTCCAAAGTTGTACATAGATTTTTAACCATGTAGGGATTGGTGCCCCTGACCCCCACATTGTTCAAGGGTCAACTGTAATAGTTCGCTTTTCCTTGCTGTTTATCCCAGTTCTCCATTTAATATGTTTTAGAGGGGGTGAGAAAGAAAGAGAGGGAGAGAAACATCAACAGTTGCTACATCGACTGGTTGCCTCTCACTCGCCCCCAGCTGGGGACTTGGCCCACAACCCCAGCATGAGCCCTTACCAGGAATCCAACTGGCAAACTTTCCATCCACAGGCTGGCATTCAGTCCACTGAGCCACACCGGCCAGGGCCCAGTTCTCTATTTAAGGGAACCTTGTCCCTGTTGATATTTATTTTTAAAGGACTACATTTTCACATAATAAAGTTTCCTAGTCACTCCTGGATCTCACTTAACAGAGGTTTGGGGAATGTTTTAAGTTTCATCATTTTAGTCATAGATTCATTTAGAAGGTATCTAAATCTTCAAGTGTAACCAGATATGTAAGGTTGAGTAAATGCCTTGCTACAGGGGTCCCCAATCCCATGCCACTGACCAGTATCAGTTAGTGGCGTGTTAGAAACCCCAGATGGCACAGCAGGAGGTGAGCTGCAGGCGGGAGGACAAGGGAAGCTTCATCTGTACTTACAGTCTCTCTCCATAGCTCCCCATTGCTCTCATTACGGCTTGAGTTATACCTCCCATCAGATCAGCTGCAGCATTAGACTCTCATAGGAGCCAGAGCCCTACTGTGAACTACGCATGCGAGGGATCTAGGCTGCACACTCCTTATGAGAAGGGAATCTACTGTCTGATGATCTGAGGTGGAGCTGAGGCAGTGATGCTAGTGCTGCGGAGCAGCTGCAAATATAGATTATCATTAGCAGAGAGGTTTGGCTGCACAGAGGCCATAATAAACCAATTACTTACTTGCAGACTCATATATCAAAACTATCAGATCCTGGCTAGTGTGGCTCAGTGGATTGAGTGCCGGCCTGTGAACCAAAGGATCACTGGTTTGATTCCCAGTCAGGGCACATGCCTCGGTTGTGGGCCAGGTCCCCAATAGGAAGTATGTGAGAAGCAGCCACACAATGATGCTTCTCTTTCTCCTTCCCTTCCCCTCTCTCTAAAAATAAATAATTTTTTTTAAAAAGGGACTTTATCAGCAAATGGCAAGTGACAATTAAGCCGCATCTAGTCACAGACTATAAAGGTCCCCTGTCCCCCTGCAGAAAAATTGTCTTCCATGAGATCAGTCCCTGGTGCCAAAAAGGTCAGAGACCACTGCTCTATCAAATACTGGACTAGAATAATCTGTTATGGTGAGCCTCCAGAAGGGTTTATTATTTTTGTTAGAAGACTTCATTTCTTTCTTTTCAGAGAGAGTGGAAGGAGGAAGAGAGGGAGAGAAAAATCAGTGTGTGGTTGCCTCTCACACTGCCCTGGCTGGGAATCGAACCTGGTGACCCTTTCGTTTGCAGGCCAGTACTCAATCCACTGAGCCACACTAGCCAGGGCTAGAAGGGTTCAGATAAATCCATGGATCCTTGTGGTAACCTGTGATATGAATCAAAGATATGCAAAGTATACCTTCCTAACCTTCTGAGGACCAAGTCAAAGATGATAACATCCGCCCTTCCCTATGCAGAGCACATTTCTCTGTACCAAGGGCAAAGACTTGGGCTGGAGAGTTCTGAACAGTTGTACTTTGACAAACTAGTGAGGTGCATCACAAGTAATTTGTTACTGGTTAACATTAAATTCATTTTATTTATTCAAACTTGTGAATAACTTACTTGGTAAATTAAAAGTTTCAAATTCCCTATATGTGAGTACTTCTGATAAGCTTTCTGATGGAAGACTTAAGACACCAACAGGCAACGGGCAGAACCCTGGGTCTACTCACAGGGGTATGAAGCATGCGCACATTATTCACGGGCACCGCAGAGGACCAACGGCTCAGTAACAGCTGCTCTGGGAACTGACTTGATAGGATTTAGTGGTTCATATGAATGATGAGAGGAGAGGAAATTAACACTGGACCTTGAGCTTAGTTGTCAACTATTACCAGGGTACTTGCTCTGAGTTCTGTATTAGACTTCACAGGGATTTGTGGTATAAGAAGCTCTGTTAAACACATTCATTCTGTGTGCGAGATAATAAGAGGAAAAAGGACTTAAAACAGAAGGTAGTTCACAGCTCGATCAGATTAAGTCTTGGAACTATTCATTTATAGATACAATTTTGCCACTAAATACATAACTTCAGGACCTGTGGTTTCTCTGGGCCTCACTTTCTTCATATGTAAAATGGACAGAGGTGAACTAGATGACCTCCAAGGTCCCTTTGGATCTCAAGGGTGGAATTTTAAGTCTTTAAAATGTTTCTTCAGCTGTTCTCTCCCTGAGGCGTTCCTGGGACAGAAATGTTCCATTCCAAACCCTAAGACAGCCACACTTCAGAGTAAAGGCATTTACCACACTCCTCAGAGAAGCCATCCTTTGTTTTCATCCTTATGCCACAGTGCAGAATCTCTACGTACAGAAAGCGAGAGCAGACTTACAGCCTAGATTGACAATAGCCAGTGATGAAGATGAAAAGGGTATACTTTAGTGTTGCTGTTGGCATCAAATCTTAAAAACTTAGGCCATCAAATAAGGCCTTTCATTAAACAACATTCCTTACCTAATTTCTCCCTATCTGAAAAAGCCCTCACTTCTCAGCTGAGTTGCTCACATCCATCTCCCCTTTCCTGTTTGATCCTGCTGATCCCTCCATCTGGAAGGGCGGGGGGGGGGGGGGAGAATAACGCATGTCCATTATTTCCTTCAAGACCAAGCTCTGTCGTACTTTGTTTCCTCAGTATGAATACATGCAATTTTTAGATTCCTATACTACCATACTTCCATTCTCTTACTAATTCATAGAGGGCCATCTCCTCTCCACCATTACATTTTTAAACACACTGTTTTGAGTAGGCACTGAATAAATGTGCATCTAGTTTTGTCAGTGCAGCGGGAAACTCAGATGGCAAAAAAAACGGAAGCTTCAGCCTCCTCCTCCCTCTCTGCACTACCATTCCCAAAGCTCTTCCTTCCATTCCTTTTCCTTTCCCGTCTGGAATCCCCTGCCTTCCAACCTAATCTAAGGGCCAGTTCTGAGCATGAAAAGACAACACAGTTCGTACTTTTGGTTTCTTTTTTTTTTTCAGTTCATTTCAGTAAAAACAGAATATAAAAGGCATCGCCACCTTTTCCCCTCCTGGGGGTGATCCCTCAGTCCTGGCCGCTCCAGTGCCTCACAGCTCATCGTGCGATATGTGCAGGGCATGGTCACACAGATCTGCAAACAGCATGTAATAGTTGGAGGGAAACCGCCATTCTTATATTGATATATGCCACTACCAGGAAAACACCTGAAAGGCAAACTGATATACATAACAACCACCATTTTTTAGAGCATATGCTTTTAAATGACAAAACATTCCCATTTTCCTCTCACCTGTTCCTCAGATGAGGGAGCCACACATTCTGGAAGCTGACAGGAAGAGAATGGATAGGAACAAGTCCCTAAGCCACAGGTAACAGAGGACAACTCTTGAGCCCACATCAGGGGACTGAAGGAGTGGGGGGGGGGGGTGCTAAGGAATGTGCCAGATTCCACAGAGTTATGAGCACAGAGGGTAGAGTGGGAGCAGCTTACCTGTTCTCTTACTACAAAGTTTGTCTTTAACATTGTCAGCCTCTCGGGAAAAGAATTCAATGAGTTCATCCTCGTATTCCTCCACAATGCTCTCACACTGCCAACCCAAGAGAGAAGCGAGTGAGAGAAGGCAGCAAGAAGAGGCTTCTTGCTTCTGACTCCAGAGAGAACAAGGATATTAACCCAAGTTTCCACTTGGTTCTCCAATAACCACCCCCTAATTTCTAAGACCCAGCTACCCATCCCCGTAGCTCACCACAAATTTGAGGGTGCCACTGATGTCTGAATCAATTCGGATGCCCTGTAGATCGAGTTTACTCGGTTCTCCATTTCGGCTCACTACACGTATGTAATTCTTGCGGTGGGTGGAAGGGTCGATCTGTTCTCCGTACTCCTTCATCCGGTCACATACTTCCTCTAGCAGCTCTGTGAGGTGGGCCTCTGAGCGAGCATAAGGCACCTAGAAATGTCCTCAGCCTTGGGTTACACTCTTCTACCTCTGTTCATCAGTAATTTACATCCTTGCTTTCCCTTCCAAATCTAGCTCAATCAACCTATTCTAAAAAGCCTGCCCTATTTAAAAACAGTATGGTTTATTTGTGTAATCCCAAAGTGCTTTCAAATACCATATATGGCCTTTTTTTCCCACCTCATTATACATCCCTAAGAAATAAAACAGATGGTGTTATTAGGTCCAAATTATAAACAAGAGACTTCTTTGATTAACCCTAGTGAACTATGTGTTCTTTTTCTTGAGCTCTCTTAATTTTTATGGATGTAACAATTATTATTTTTTAATTAAAATGAGACTAAAACCTTCCTTCAAGAGGAGGGCACTGGAAAGGGAGTGTAAACTTTGAGGATAACAACTACTAAATCATTTCACAAGCATTAGAACATTTACATTTCTTTATTTATTGTTCACTAAGTGCAGCTTTGTTATATGTGTTATGTTTTCAACTAAAATAAATTTCCCAAATACAAGGATGAGAACTTCTATTTGTTTTTTGAACGAGTTTGTGTGAATATTGCCATAGTGAAAACGTGAGTCACGTGGATTAAGAATGTGGAGGAAAAGGCCATCAGGGTTCCCATCTGCTGACAACTTCTACAGCAGAAACAAAGTATCAAGGTTTGGAGCCAGGAAGCCAGCGCGTAGGGTTTGAGTCTCCAGCCTCTTCCAAATGAGACAGCCCTATCTTTTAGACATCTCTCTGGGTCAATGTTTTCTTCAGTTCTATTAAACCAAGCTCCTTCTTAATTAGCTGAGTCCTTATTCAAAGTCAGAGTGAACTACTTTACTTGATGTAACAGTAGCAGTTACCTCCACCACTGACTGGCTGCCATCTGGATTGATTCGGAAAGAGCCCATCTGAATGGTCTTCTTGGGATCCACCTGGGCAATTTCCCACTCCAGTTCATCCACCAGAGCCCTGCAAGCTAGTGCAAGGGGAGAGAAGGTGGGGGACGAGGGGAGAATCAACCCAGGGATTTCCATTCATTCTTACCCAGGCTGTCCTCCCAAGGTTCTGCATTTCCCACCCTCCTTCCTCCCGCTTTTCTTTGTGTCTTTACCTCCACAATGTAGATCCTGGCTCCTTCGAGCCCAAGCAGTTCCCAGCAGGGCCCCCAGAAGCAGGGCCAGCCAACCCCAGCCTTTCATCTTTAATGTAATGGGGTTGCTCCACCTGGGTTAGGATTGGAATAAAGCATAAGTATGAGGAGCCGGCTCCATTCCCCCACCCATCCCTCCTCCCAAGGCCTACAAAGGCCTCAGTGGGATTCTGGTTCTACTTTCCAGGAAATGGCCGGGATGCAAAGGGGTTCCTCTGTTTCGGTGCTTGAGGACCTGGATTCCCCCAGGCAGTAGGTTAGAGCGCGAGGTCAGGACTTGGGGCTCAGCCCCAGACACTACCGGTCGACAGGTGAGGCCCTAGATATTGGTACTTCAGCGTCCACCAAAGGGCTCACGGGGCTATGTGGCAGCTAGGGAACGGAAGTCGGCGATTAAGCGCGGACAAGAGGCAGAGAGGAGCTGTCGGCTAGGTGGCAGCAAGGGGGCTGGCCCGCGAGGAGCGCACTCAGCAACTAGGGTCTATTTGGTCCCAACACCAAAGACTACTGAATCCCCACCTCCAGCCTATAAACTGTTTCCCCTGCAGACCAGCCCCCTTTTAAGGACCCCGCCATTGCCTTCACTCCAGTCTGTCCCAGACCCTAAGCGCCAATTGCAGCTGTCCCACCTCTGCTCCCAGGGCCGCCGCGGTGGCCCAGGCACTGGAAGTCGATCGGTCTCTCCCTTAGCTCCAGACCCTAGCGCCTGGCTGCGGGCGAGAAGGGCCGTCCGGCTTCTCCACGGCTCTCCGGCGCTTTTCAGGCACGGGGTGTCCCGGCGACCGCCTGAACGGCTTCAGGCGCCCTAAGAGTGTGCCTAAGCAGGGCTCCGATTCACTGCGGTTCAAGCCCCTCTCCAGAGACTGACTCTAAACCCGGCCATCTACTCTCGCGCGAACAGGCTGCTTAGGAATGACACCAGGCAACAAGGACCCCGTTGGATCGCAGAAGGACCCAGATTTGCGTGGCGAACAGCTCCACGTAACCACTAGGGGTCAGCCGAAGAGTAGGAGTGGCCTGAAGCAAGGACAGATCCTGGAGTGGTGTGTGGAGGCGGTCAGGTGTATGCATGTGTGTTATTCAACGTGGGCTAGGATCTTCAAAAACAAAGGTGCGCTAGTAGCCAAAAAGCTGTAGTTTCAACACAGGAAACTACTTTTTCCTGAACTGCTTTTTCAGTCAGGAAACTACCTCTCCCGGGAAGCAACGCAGCACCGACCAGAGCCTTCGTTTGTAGGTATAGGTTTTAAGATGTTCTGGGACCTGTCAGAACATCTGTCTGTGGGTCTGTCAGCTTCCCCACTCCCCTTCTACAGTTAAGGAGTAAACCCTACTGTGCGTCTTAAAGGAATCCCACGTGATGGTACTAGACAGCCATGGCAAAGACCTAACATTGTCCGTACAGACATTATACTCCTTCAATATCCGTACCTTTGGAATTCACGCTTTACCTTCATTTCTAGGTAAGAATTTAGAAGCCTTAGGCTTTCCCAGTTGTTAATAGAAAGCCAACACAAAAAAGGAAAGACCAAAGTCAGAAAACCCCACACTCTCAGGTACCCAAGGAGATAGATGACAATCCAATAATATTTTTGTTTTTATTTTATAAAACATGCAGTTTAAAACAAAACTTTTTATAAAAATCAAGAAAACAACACTTGGAACAGGAGAGTGGAGTGGATGGAAGACAGATGCTTCTCAGCTGTCAGCAGGAGTGAAGCCAGCAGCCAAGCTTGGTCTTGGACCCAAAGGCCCTTTTGGCAATGATGGTGTTGGCAACACCGGTGTGCTAGGGCCACCAGTCCTCTACCTGTTGCCTTCCTGGCAGGCCTCAAGCAGTCAGAGACTTGAGCTGTGTCTTGAACTACTGTTGTACCCGATCGCTGTTCAGTACTTCAGTCCTGAGCCAACTAGGACAAGTTTTGGTTCTAGGATCTTCTTCATGTGGATATTAACCACCCAGAATATTTATTAAGAATTTCTTTACATCTGGGTCAAATCTAGACCTTGTTTCTGTCCCACTGTTTTTGCAAAGGATGAAAAAGGAATCTGGCTGCTAGACCCTTTGCAAATTTCTGCTGCATTCCGGTCCTATTAATAGCACCATCTGTAAACCCTGAGCAGGTTCAATTCTGGAAGTAGAGCCAACTTAGGAAGCCATCTCCCAGTTCTGGGACCACAGAACACCAAAGGGAGAGACAGCAGTTTGCTGGGAAGGGGGAGGTCAGAGCGCCAGTACTGAGGGAAAAACAGCTGCATCTGTCAGAGACAAAACCAAGAACATTGAATCTTACAGTGAGTGGAGAAAAAGCACCTAGGATTCTTCTTAGGAAGGAAAAATACAACAAAAAGAGGGCATGGGCCTGCCCCAAACACTTTAGAATTGGGCAAGAGGAGGTTAGGACCAATGCAGAGTTTCAGTAAAATCTGTTTCACTGATTGTTGGGGAGGATTAAATGCTTTGTAAACTTTTAAGTGCTTTGCAAGTTTAAGGTAGAGTTAGTACCGTTAACATTACCATCATCATCATTATGGTGGGTATCATCTTCACATATGCAGTTAAAACCCACCCAGTCCAGTTTCCCTTGTTCCATCCCAGGCCTTACTTTTGGGACTTGTCTGGCCCTCAGGCTCAGGCACCTTCCAGTCCAACTTTCGGCCCTTCTCGTAAAGACCCTTGAGCACTTTGTGGAAGGACTCAGGCTCAGTGCCATTTTTGCTTAGCTCCAGATACTTTCGGTAGAGCTGAAGGGCTGTGCGAGCATCCTCAATACTGTCATGGGTCTCCCCTTGAATCTTCAGGTCTGTGGAAGTAGAGGTGGAATAGTTTGGGACCTCGCAAAGGAGGTAAGAACATGTCGCCCACTCCAACTCCCAATAAATAAGAAAGAACCTGACTGCCCTTAAAGGAAGAAGCCAAACACCATCCCTGGTGCACGGGAGGGATACTGAAGCCAATTAAATCCATTAATAAATTCACCACTAACTCAGGATCCTCCCTATTCTCCTTGGCCCCTCCAAAACTTTTTCCTGCTCTTAACGAATATCACAAGGGCTGTCAAGGCAGAGCAACTCACCCAGAAAATACCAAGCAAGGAATCGCAGGGAAATCATTCGTTTCCGGGGCATGTGAAACAGATACACAGTGTCAAGGACTTGGTCCTTGGGCACCTGGAGGAATAAAAGAATGGGAGATTGAAGGTAGGGGATCCATAATTTCCCATTCACCAGAAGCATAATGTACATACCCTAAGGGGCCCACACTCAGAGAAGACTCTTAAAAAAGCCCTGCACAAACCATGAGGTTGATGACCCGGAAGTCCTTCTGCAGACCATGACCCACAAACTTGACTCCAATGTCTATGAGAAAACGAAGCTTTAAGTATGTAGACTTGAGAGTTGTGAGGTGCTTAGAGGAAATCTTAGCATCGAGATCTCCTGGTTTTATCCCTGAGTATTGAGTCAAGTAATCCACCACCTAGGGATAGAGAAGGCAAGTTTTCCAGGAAGCAAGGTACAGTCTCCCCCCACCACTCTTCCCTGGGTTCTAGAGTACTCCACATAAGCACTGGATCTGTCTCATTTGCACTTTCATATCCTAATACCTGCTCCTGGGTAGAGATGTAGTCATCAATGAAGGGGATACCCTCATTGGGCCCCTGGCCCCGAACACAGGTAATCCTAGCGACGGACATCTGGCTTGGTTTGATGGTCGACTTGGTGCCATCACTGCGCAACTCTGCTTCCTCCTACACGGAAGAGTTAATAAGGAAATTAGAGAAGCTTATGACTCCAAATGTCCCCAGAGTTCTGTTCCGATGCTCTACACTTTTGGTCTTGCTTACCTCATTAAGGGTGACAAACTCAGCATCCAGGCCCACCAGGTCCCCAACCTGTGGCATCTCATTCAGCATCAGTGGAATGAAGGTAGTATGTGTTTTCCGCTGCTTCCGTGCCAGCGAGGCTTCAGCCATCAGGACACTTGCCTCAATAGGGTTCTTGACTGGAAGGGAGAATCCAGAAGACACACTGTTGGGGACAGGGAAGTGACCAAGGGAGGGAAGCCCAGGGAAGCTCACCAGAGACTGGGGTCCACAATGTGACCCTCAATAGTTAAAGCATGTAAGTAAAAAGATCATGCTTGATGAACAGAGCAGGTAGGTGGAATAGGTAAATAAAATAATTATCAAGAAATGTGGTAAGGAAAAAAACCTCTTCACTTTGGATTTTAGCTTAGAAAATCCACAAAAATGAAGTTACAGAGAAACTATGGTTTAAAGGCACCAAAAAGGGACTTAATGAGGAGTTCATCTCTGAAAGAAGAGATCTTTACTTGGGGATAAGAATAATTAGACTCAAAATCCTAACTGAGCCGCTTCGATCAGACTTTTCCCCACTTCTTTTTCACTATACCCTCAGGATCTTTGGCTTCTAAATTTAAGGTCTTATGAGCAGGAATCTGTGTAGTATCCCTAGAAATATTAACACTGGTTATACATTCTAATATTTATGGTTTTTTATTGATTTTAATCCTCACCTGAGGATATGGTTATTGATTTTGGAGCTAAAGGGAAAGAGAAAAACATCAGTTGCCTGCCATATGTGCCCTGACTGAACCCACAACCTTTTGGTATACGGAATGATACTTCAACCAACTGAGCCACCAGCCAGGGCCTAATCTTTTTGTTTTTTAAAGCATGCGCCCATTTTTTAAAATTATTTTTTTAGAGGGAGGAGGGAAAGAGAGAGAGGAAAATCAATTTGTTGTTCCAATGATTTCTGCATTCGTTGGTTGCTTCTTGCATGTGTCCTGACCAGAGACTGAACCCACAACCTCGGTGTATCAGGATGATGGTGTAACCAACTGAACTACCGATCCAGGACATAGATCCTAATCTTAACAAGCTACTTCCGAGGTCTCTTCCTGAAGACCAATCTAAACTGCCCACACCTTGGGTCTATTCTTGTACCACTTACTGTTCAGGTTGTATTTGGAATTGAGATTCCTTTTGATGTAATAAAGGATAGCAGGCACTTTCCAATTCATGTCAAACTGCACAGCTTCATGCTATAAAAGAAGAAGCACTTAATGGGCAACATATAGGACCCTTCTTCCTTTTTCCCAAGTCAGACAAATGATAAGACTCAGATGCTAATACTTTTTATTCTTGAGAACCTATCCCTCCCTCCTGAATTTGTCTGGCATTCTGTAGGAAAATAAGGATGAGGATGCTGGGGAAGGCAGGAATCAATGTGTTACAACTAACCTTATCAATAGGTTCAATAAGAAAGTCATTGAAGAGGTACCACTGCTGGTGCGTAACACCCTATGGAGATACAGAGGAAGACTGATGCCAGTGATGGCTGGACCACTTGGGCTCAGACTGAAGATAAGGACAGATCCGGGATTCTATTCTGGCCCCCACCTGGAGGAGCTCCGCCCTGTATTACCTCACTCACCTCCTTGCGTTGGTGGTAGGTCTCTCCAACTCTGATGTGAGCCACCAGGCTGCCCCCTGTGCGCGAGTCCAGGATGTGCACCACAGTAGCCATCAGGTCATACACATAGACACCACGTTCCTCCTCTGCCCTGGCTGGGCCCCACTGTGAGGGGGGTACCCAGGCTGCTAAGCTAAGTTTAAGGATAGGGAAGGAAGGGGAGTGGGGATAGAGGACAGGGAGTTTGGGGTATGGAATGGGGCACCAGGGTGGGTTATCTCCATCCTAGCCCATCAATGACTCCCAACGGTAAAGTTAGTGACTCTGGAAAAGCCCACTACAGGTAAACATTCGGCCTTATTCCCTTTATTTTCCCTACACTAAGTTCCGTTTCCCCCTACCTGCTTCTGCCCTATCCCTCTCTCCCTTATAGACCCTCCTCTTCCCAATTTTCCAACAACCTGCATATCATCCCCATCAGTCCAATTGCAAACATCCAGTCCTTTGTTCTTGGTCATC